AACCACCGAATGAAAGCGTTGTTGTCGGAACAGATGAAGCAGGAGGAATGTCTGACATAGACTGAATACCAAACATTGGAGGTACAAAATTAGAAACGGTATTTTTGCCAGAACCATCGAATGAAAACAATGTTTGTGACTCCGAGTATGTGTTGCTAAAACATGATACTCCTGCTGTTGTTGTTGGAGGTGGAGTAAAATCTGAGAAGTAAGGATCCATCATTGATTGTAGCATATAAGATTGTGGATGCATGAAAGAAGTATTGGTAGTGTAGCTATTACTGCTTCCAAACAAAGCTGAACTACCTGGAGGAGGTGGTGGCTGTAGTCGGTGAGGGGCAGCAAAGAACGTTGCTATTCTGCCATATTCTCTGGATTCGACAGGAGCGTTGATGCTGTCGTTATTGTAGCTAACGTTATTTCCAAATGGGGACGTATATGATGCAGGAGAAGGAGCTGGTGGTTGAAACCTGGCAGAAGAAGACATTGCTGGGAAGCCAAATCCTACAGACCCAAACGAAGTTTCGCTGCTGACGTTGCCGCTAACAGTAGTTCCAAATAGTGTGGATCCAAATAGTCCAGCGGTGGTAGTAGTAGCATCAGTACAAGCCTGATCGCCTACTGAAGCATTAAATCCTTCGAATATAGGATAAGCGTTCCTTGTACTGATGGTACTGCCTTGGGACGAAAATAGTGATGTTGGAGTAGGAGCCTTGTTTGACGGACTCATTTGAGGTACTTGTGATGCGGCCATTCCCACATTTGATAAGCAACTTGTCTGTGTGAAATCTGATGAATCTAGTTGCATCACTGCTTGTTGCTGCTTCTGTATTGGTGCGGAAAAAAGTATTGTTAAATCATCTGACATCTGTTTTTGTTGCTGTTCTTGTAGTGCACGATTAGAAGAAGTGTTTTGTTTTTTTGAAGTTTTCTCCGATGACTTGCTAGATGTCTCTGAAAATAGATTGATCACAATTTCTAAGAAATAATCGACATTCTCAAAGCATCTTCTGTAAATAATAGGAATCAAATGTTATCGACAATTATTTTATCTGAACATAGGTCTCGATTTGGGAAGAGTTAGGATCGATTCGCTCGCCTCTCCTACTATCTTCTTTATGTCTACAAAAATACTAAGCTATAGTCAGAAAGTTCTTTGCCATATTTTCAGCTCCCCCCACGTCGAGAAATTATCGAGACCCTTGTATTTCGGTACGAAAAATATCCTTTTGAAAATTTTTACCTGCTGTGAATGAATTTTCATCATCAATAACATCCATAACAAAAGCACACTTTTCATTTTGAACTTGTGCTTTTTTCCGAGTGCATTCTGGTGAAGCCAAAGATGACATCTCTTTCTTTAAACGTTCCTTCACTTTTTTAATTGTTTCTTTTTGTTTTTCAGTTTTAACTGCATGATATGTCACAGGTTTCGTCTGTTTAAAATGAGGAGGACCAGCATCAACTTCACAAGAATCCGTTTTTTCAAGTTCTTCGTCAGATGGCCGTATAAGAGCTTTTTTCTTTTTATAGGTAACATTCATTTCTAGTTTCTTTGATTGTGTATGCAACTTTGTTGGACATGCATAATCAACGAAAAGATCAAAACCGATGTCTGCATCAGTTTCATCACTCTCTGCAGTTTTTACTTGTTTCATTTTACTAAGTTCTAGCCTACATTCTTCATCTTCTCAGATAACATATAAAACATGAAAATATATAATTATGTTTTGAATAAAGTAAATTTACCTATCGAATCCGACAGCAAACATGAGGAAACGTTCTGTACTACATCTACATTAAAGTTAGATGAAAGGTCTGCGTCACTCTTCTTCTAGAATTAATTCAAACAATTATTCATTCATGATATAACGTTAACTTACAAATAGGTCATTGAAAAGCACATCTTCTCCGCCACTGTAACCGATATCATTGGCAACAGTCAGTAGATCTTGGTTATTCTTTTCCTCTTGTTGAGAAGTTGTACTTTGATGTTCGATATCTTCTCTAATAAACACATAATTGTAAAAACATGAATATCTCTACATATTCAACTTACAATACTTCAGTGTTAATACGTATATCAATTTCATCTAATCGTTTTTCTAATATTTTTCTTTCATTCGTTGTTGCATTTTTTATTTCATTAATTAAATCTATCAATATGCATTGAATACTAACTAATAATTTTAAGAAAAATTTAATATTTACCTTTCTGCATATTTTCTTCTAATTCTCGGGCTTTTTCTTTTTGTTTAAGTATCGTTCGATATGTGTCAATAATTGTTAACATTAAATCATATTTTGCTTCACCACCGAAACGATATGATATATTTTGACAAAGATTTTCATATTCATTTACTAAATCAATTTTATTTGATATTGAAGCACTATCAAATAAACGTTTTCCATTAATTAATTTATCTTTAATTATATCACTTAGTGATTGATCACCATCCCAGCCAATATATGGAAGTAAATCAATATCATTTTCAAGCATAACATCAAGTAATCGAACACCTGGCTCAAGTGCTTGTCCATCGCGTTCTTCAATAGCTACAAAACTTGTAAATGAACTTACAACAGAGTATTTCATACTAAGTTCAATTAAATCTTGTTTATATTGCTTTTTAATAAGTTCATTTTCACATTCATCATTATGTAATAAACCATTTTCATAATCTTGAATAATAGCACGAGCTGTTAAACAATGTAAAACACGTCCTCTTGTTTCAGTTATTTTATTACTAAATACCGTTGTAACATATTCTTGATTATTTATTGTTGCTGTTAATGTTGCTTTATGACAATTTTGTATAAAACGATATACAGTTAAACGCATACCATTAAATAATGATCGAATTATTTTTGGTGCTTGACTAGTAAATTTTTCTTGTTGATCATCAATTGTTCCATGCCAATCAATGGATACATTTGTTACACATGGTTGTTGAATATGTTCAAGTATTTGAAGTACTTTTGTTCTCCATCTTGAACGAAAATTTGAATCAAATACAGTTATTAAACCACCACCATTTATTCTATTAGCTAATTGTCTTAAATTATGTTTATTAGATGTATCACCAATTGAACATGTAAATAAACGATCATGACGCATTGATGATTGATTTTCTAATAATGTTAAAATAGATTGAAGATCATTGATATGTCCATCAGAAAGAAGAATAAATTGACGACCAAGCTTAGATGATGATGGCAAAAGAGCATATTGACGAAGTACAGAAAATAAATCAGTATTACCACGATGATCAAGTGAATGCTATAACAGATATAAATTTAAATACATACTATGTAAAACAAAACAAAATAATACAAACCAAAACAAAATGCTTAGCTTTATCAATATTTTCTTTTGTATTTTGTGATGCAATAGGAAAACATTCATCATTATCTAAAATAAATAAATTAATGAAAAGTAAAAAATAAAACTATTTTTTCTTGATTTACCTGATCCGAAGGTAACAATATTAAAAACAATATTTTTATCATCAGTTTTCATGTTCGTCAAAAATAAGTGTGCTAATTGTTTTGCTTGTTGTACATGCTTTCCATCCATAGAATTTGATACATCAATAATAAAAACAATTTCCACATATTCATTTGAATTAATCATCATTTCAAATTTTGGATAAAATGTTAACATACATGCTTGAGAATTTTCATCAATCGATTGATTATTAGTATTTGTATCTGATGACACATATGTTTCATTTAGCATGCGTGGTAAATTAACACTTTTTAATGTAATTGAAAGAATAAAATCTTTTTCAAGTAAAATATTATCAACAAATTCAAGCATAGCAAGACAGTCAGTTATTTTGCGACGAAGTCGATGTGTTGGTGAAAATAATTTTATTATTTCATATGGCATACGTATTGATGCTTTAAGACTAAATTCTACTGATTTCATTGAAGAATTATCCTGTTCAAGATTAATTGATGGAAGTATTGTTTGATCTTTCATTTCTAAAGCTTGTTTTGATTGCCATGAAGCTACTTTAGCTGGTAAACGAAATATAATATCATTATTTTCAATAGATAATTCAGCAACATATGTAATTTTAATAATCACTTCACAATTAGCTGGTAAATTACCAACAGATACACTAAAGACTTCAGGCTGTTCTTGATGCATTAAATATGCACCATGACCTTTTTCAATAGCTTCACGATATTCACGTTTAGCTTGTTCTTTTTCTTTAACAACACCTTTAATTATTTTATTATTAATATGAGCTTCAAACCCACAAACAGAAGAATTTTCATCAAGAGGAAATACATATTTTGCTTCAATTGGTACTGAACTTGAATTATGATAAACTTGATAAAGAACAACCTAAAATAATTTATAAAGGATGTTTGCTCTTTTTACAGAAAAGAAAATGATGTAATTTACTTCAGCAGTAATATCAACAAGTTGAGCACGAATATGAAAAGCTTTAAGTGGAACAAGTTCACCTGACAATGGACAAATTAAACCATAGTCTTGTTCTGCTACTTGAATTACTTCATCTTCGATTGTTGAAGGAATATCCACTGAAACAAATATATACATGGATGAGGATTGCTTTATCAACTAAAATACTAACGAAGGAACGTGTCTAAAGGTCAAATCGTTGTAGTATTGGAACTATGTACATCATGTAGGTTCTGATGAATTATGAATATGTTGAAAAGAGTTTAGTCTAATAGCTTATTATTGCCAAGATTCTGTGTTTTTTTAGCAGAACTTCCTGATTCCTCCTTAGAAACATCAGAAAAACTGAGTTTTGAATTACGACTTGAAACTTTGCATAGAGATAAACCCTAATGAGAATAGTTTATTGTAAAAATGTTTAGATCTTCTGAGTATGTCTATCCTAAGATATGACTATGGTGAAAGCATGTTTTTCACGTCACTCATATATAACTACAAATTTTGATGGCCTAGTTTCGAAATAGGTGCAATCGAAAAATTGAAAACTTTCACAATAAGCTATTCTCATCAGAAGCTGTCTCTCTCTGTATAAAGTTTCAAGTCGAAATTTGAAACTTAGTTTTTCTCGTGTTCTTGTTTGAATCGTTTTTTTTTCTGTAATATCTTATTGTTTTAAAATTTCAGAGTTTAATTCCTTGTAAATATACGCTTGATTATTAAGTTCGTTTTTTAATGTGAAGAAAATAAAGTCTATATAAGATTAGTGAAATTCTTTTCATGATTCTGAAGCATAAAAATATCTCCTCTCTCCTATATTGCTAAAGATTGCTCAATCGGAAATATACAGATGGTTAATGAATCACAGCGATATTGGCTAGAACTAACTCTTTGAACATTGTAATTAAGTTTGATCCATCTATCAAAGAGTCACTGCACGAGAATCACGACCGAATCTATTCAATTGAAGGTTCCAAACTTTTGTTTACATCTTCATACAGACCTAACTACATAATTTTAGAGAAAAATATGTAAGCGACTTCCATCCGACTGATAGAAAGAAAAGCTATGTACATGATGAAGTGTTTTAAACATGTTCTATACGTCGTTCAAATAGATCTTTATCAGATCAGTATGTTAAAATTTTTCGAAAACTTTTTCTTCGAAGACCAATCACTAAAATTTATTTGGATACCTAAGCAAACGTTTGTAATCTTTATTAAAATCAAATCATTTCTAAATCTCACCTCATAATGCATGTTAACTGGTTAGAGAGAAGTTTATTTGATTACTGGAATTTATTTAAATCGCCGAATTTATCTCAACTTATTCTATTGATAGTATATAATACATTTTTATTATACCAAATAAAAACCATAGTTCTGAAGAGTTAACTTTTACTTTCAGCTGATCCCTAGCTTTATATGTCGTCCTTGTTCTCACCTTCAGTTAGATACCTGCCCTTAGTCTAGTTTGTTTTGTTCTATGGTCACATAAAGAACGAAATTTATAGAAAAATCTCAACAATTCCCAAAAACAAATTTGAAAGCTGTCGATACGAGGACGATAAAACGTTCATCCAGCGATTAATGTATTACGATTAAACTTTATTGAAGAAAACTGACACGAAATTAAGACGAAATATGAATGCTTCTATCTATTTTGAATTATTTGTTATTTAGTTGGAAAAACCTGATTACTTTTATCTGACAATAATTTTGATTGATTTGTTAAATAATCACGAATAATAGGTAATAATTTTGTTGACTGATCCATATTATCATATGGTTTCCATGAAAGTTCAACAATATAGAGTAATCGTTGTTGATCAAGATTATAAATAGCATATTCATTATCCTACATAAACATCATGATGAAAACCTGATTGAAAAAATTACTTCTTTCTTACAAGAAACTTTGAATTATTTTCATCATTTTTTTTGACTCCATGTGTACTATGAAAATTTTCAGGTGGTTGAGTTAAATTTGATGCATATGAATAGAATTTTGCTGAATCTCCTAATGCTACTTGAGATATACATAATAATCGTCGTCCAGGACGTGTTATACTTGGTGTTGTATATTTTAATGATGTTGAAACTGAATCAGAAAAATAAAGTCCATATCCCAAACATCCAATATCAGTTCGTGTAACTCCTAAATCATTAACAACTACTTTTGGCATAAGAAGACCACTAAAAAAGAAAACCAAAAAAAAAACTTAAATAACAACTAAGAGAAATAATATTTTTTATTAGTTTACCGTGATAAAATACCAAGAAAATTATTATATTTTGATCCATGAAAAAGTTGTTTTTGATTAAAAAGTGTTGAACGAAAATTCAATGCATCTGTTTGTTTAGCTACACTATATATTTGATGAATGATTACTTGTTCATTCCTTAAAAAAATACAAAAAAATTTGATTTTATTTTAATAATTTCAAACAAAGCAATATACGAACGCATTCGTTGATGAAGAAATTATACTATTTATTGTTGCATATTCATGTGTATCATGTTTGACAGTTTCTATATGACATTTTAATGCTCGATATTTTGCTTCGATTGATGCTTTTATATTCCAATTTGTTAATTCATTTACAGTAACCATATCGCGTAACATCTATATATTGTGAAAAAAGAAAAATTAGATAAAGATTAAAATAAAATCTTTACTTGGCATAAATCTAGTTTATCAATTAATGCACGACGATTATTAATAAGATCGCCAACAAATGGTTTTTGATGAGGAATAAGTGAATAGAAACGAGTTTCTGCTTCTGATGACGCTTTACTATCAGATTTGATTTCAAGTAAAGCAGCTTCTGCTTCAATAATCTAATAATAATAGTAATACGAAAACAAAAAATCAATAAAACTTTTTGATATATGTTTTTTCCTACTGTTTTAAGGGCAATTGTTTCTGGTTGTACAGCAAGTATTTTATTTAAATCACCAATGGATTCAATCCAAAGAGATTCAACTAATTGACAAACATTATCATCAAGCATTTGTGTATCAATTCGATGAAGAAATAATGACTAAAAATTAATTGATATTTTTTCTCGAGAAACAAAAAAAGATTTTGATGTTTATCTTACACGTAATAATAATTTAGAACCTAATTTATCAGGTACTAAATCACGAATTCGTGTTATTCGTGGCATTGTTATAATACGATTATAATATGAAGCGTATAGTTGATGTAATTCATTAATATCATTACTAAATGCATATTGTATTAGAGATATTTTACCTTTTGAATTTGTTATTGTTTGTTTTTCATAACGAAATCTTAATCGATAATCATCGTTTGTTTGATTATAATATTCTTCGGGAATAATTTGAAGTTCAATAGCAAAATAAACATCAGAATTTTCATTTGTTTCCTATGTTACAAGAAAATATATGAACAATGAATGTATTCCCAAACAAATATTTACCTTAAAAATTGCCCATTTACCAATTTCAGCATGTGTTAATTCATCAAATCGTGGTAATTCAACATCATCAGAATTCCAAATTTTAATTTTTGATAAATCTAATTTAACAGATTTTATTGTACTACTTGAAGGATTTCCTCCACCTATGAGGAAAAAAAAGAACAGAGTAATCTTTTATATTTCAATGAAATCAGTTTATTAACCTGACACAGGTATGGTTCCACTTTTTGAAAAATTTTCTTTATCTTCTGCTGATGTGACAATAAATCTTTTAATATCAATAGATTGAGTTTCGTTAGACAATTTGCGATATTCATAAATATATTCAACATTTACTAATGGTATACCGAGCTGTTTAGCTCGACGAGTTTTATATGTATCAATATCATTGGAAACCAAAACATAATCAGTCTAGCAAAAACTTAATTTAATTATATTTCAATATGAAAAATTAATCAAAACATACACTAGCTGTTAAAATATATGAAATATGAGCATTTTGTTCGCGCAAATAATTGATAAGTTTTTGTTTAGTCTTGAAACGAATGTCTCGACCAAGCTCAAGTACAAACGTTTTATCACTTAATGGTGACATAGACGATTATCCTTGATCAAATGAAGACTGAAATATGGTACAGAATGAACGTGCCTTTTATTTGCTACTTTTATCCACGATCTAGAGAGAAAAAAACACTTGAGACGTAACGTCCAATGACTCACACATTACACAATAACATCTGCCAAAAGAGAAAGAAAAGCAAAGGCTAGTGCATGTTTGTTTTTGTTGTTCTTTCACCACATGTCAGAAATACTGTTATTGCACAAATCAATGAAATTTTTGATATATAATCTGCGGCTTTTTTTTATTATACGCTGAGATATTTTATTTATAATAATAAACAAGAAAATAAACGAAATAAAAAAATACAAAACAAAAAATAATGAAAAAAATACATTCTTTTGATCAGTATGATTCTTTCTTACTGTTCATTTACATTTGTAGTCGTTCAAGATGAACTTCTTTCATAATAAATATTATTTCATCAATTACTACTTAATACATAGACTGGATACCTTTCAGCATTATAAATACGACTTATTTGTAACAACATATATCCAACGTCTGGATCATTTAAATAAATTGTTATTGTACTCGGATTTTCGTATAAATGAAGCAAAACTAAATGAAAAACTTTCATTTAAATAATATGAATTATTAAAAATAAAAGATCTACTTAAAAATATCCTTGGATTATTAAGTGCTCGTTGAACAATTGAATTTTCCATAATAGCTTGAAAAATACTTGAATTTGAATCAAGACCTTGTTCATAAGTAGCACTGATAATATTTTGTTGTTCTTTATCAACAATAAGATATTCACACTAAAAAAAAACTTACAGATAAATATAAATAAGAAAGAATTTTTTTGTCATACAGCTAAATTTTCATTATTATAACATATTCGTAAAGCATCTATTGCATCATCATGATTGAAACCCATTTCTGTTAATACTTGAATGGCCTAGTACAAAAACAAAAGATAAACAGAATTCTTTTTCAATCAACCATCATTGTTTTTTACTAATGGATTTGGCTGAAAACATTGTTTTCGAAATTCTTGAAATGGTATAAATGGACCATAACGTGAATAGATATATTTTCTTTTATTCAAGTTTCTCGTTCCTTTTTCATGATCATCAGTATATTCTTGGCCTGAAAGTAATTTCATAGCAGCATTTAAGTCATATCTTTTTAAAAGAAAGTGTTGAAATTATATAAAAATAATTTATTTCTGCAATTTTTTTTCTCACTTTGTTCGTTCCAGTGCGTCTTGTGCATGCTGTGCAGTAAAGCCCATATGAACGAGTTTCTCTATTTGATTTTTATGCATTTCTTGATGATTTGATTCTGTTCTCGATGATTTTGAAAGAATTTCTAAAAAATACAACTAGTGAGATAAACAAACAAATTATAATTAAGAAAACAATATACCTTCAGCTTCCTTAAAGATATGTTCAGCATCTGAATGATACCAAAGTAATTTATATGATATTTCAATCAGTGTAAATAATACACGACCAAGATCAGTACGAAACTAAATAATATGGAATTTATATTTTTCATCGGAATGGGAGGGGGGAGGAAAAGAGTACAGTTAAAAAATGGAATATTACTTCTGTTCTTCCAACTGTATGTGGTGATTGAGAAAATGGATGCGTAGGTAGTGGAAGATCTTGTGTTCGATATTCGATTAAATCTTGATCTATAGAGCGAGGTTCGAGTGTCTATATAGTTAAATATATATATAGATTTTGAAGGATATAGTTGCGTCATTATACTTGTTCATCTCTCAATGGTTGCTGAAATACTTTTTTGGCTAGAAGATATTCATCTAGAAAAAAATTTTCATGCAGAATAAATTAATTTTCTTAACGAATAATCTAACCTCCATCTTTAACATCTTCTTGACTTAAAGTTTTCTGTTCATCGATAATTTTTTTTGTTTCAATCGATATTAATTTATAATTATCCATTTCATTCGTTCTTATGGTACGTATTGAATAATCATATGTCGATAAATTATTACTATTACTTTTTAATAAAAATTTCATAGCTAAACATTTAACATATGCAAATGTTGTATTCTCAATTGAAAATATATCTTGAAACATTGCACCAGATTTTGACCAAATTTTTAACATAACATTTTTTGATTGATCATTACAAACATCGAATATTGCACTTGCTGTTTCTGTCATTTTATTAACAAAAAAAAAACGAAAAGAAAAAATCTAGAAAAAATGAACCAAAAAAAATTTTTTTTGTTTTTGCTTTTTTGTCTGTTGCATTCGAAAGAAATACGAAAAGAAAACTTTGTTACAACAGAAACACACAAAAAAAAAAGAAAAGAAGAAGAAGAAGACATTTTCTCTCATTTCGGCCTTATACATATATCTGTAAGTTGAGAGAGAACAAGGGTAACAGAGCACACAAACACGCACACAAACAAATAAACGAAAAAAAAAGAAGAAGAAAAGAGAGACAAATATGAAATCATAATTTTCGAGGTTTTTTTTTTTTCTTGTCTTATTTTCGAAATATATATATATATATCAGTGTTTAAGTTTATAATAGGAATACACTAGACAAAAGATAGAGTCCATGTATACAAGTTGAACGATATACTCACATAAACATATAGAAAACTTATTTACAGAGACAAACTACAGTGATCATCAATTACATGTGGAGAAGTATATGCGAACTATGTAAAAAAAAAACAAAAAAAAAAAAAAGAAAAGCAAAAGTATTATTTTGTTTGTCTCTCTTCTTTTTTTCTCTCTTTTTCGTTGTATGTTTAAGATAATGATTAATTTAGATTAAGATACTGCCCATTTTCTTTAAGCCAATCGACAGCACAAGCTTTTACATGCGCCGTTATTCCTTGACATTTGAGTGATTTTCGACATTGAACATTTGGCTAAAGAAAACAATAGATTGTATTTAAGAATTTGATCATTTCTTGATTTATTATTGAATAAGTTCAGATGGAATCATATAGAATAGGACAATTATTTCAAACACATCACATTGTATATAATATAGCCTAAGTTGACTTCAATGTTTTGTAATAGTTTCATAGAAAATATATTGTTATATAAAGATAGAAAATTGATTTATTCTCTTTTCGGATATCAATGTCAAATAAATAGATCACAGTAAACATGAGAAAATATTTCTAAGAAGACAAGACTGTCTTTTTTTTTTGCAAAGAAATGAAAAAAAAACCATTGATGATGATGATGATTATCCATTTGTTTCCTTGTCATCAAAACTCTATTTATGTTTTCACAAATGAAATAAACTAAATAAATTTTTAGATAGTTTTTTATTGAAAAAGTCACAATTATTTTGATGTTTTATCAATATTGAATTTAAGACAATACAATTGTAAAAGTTTTCTATCTTTTAAAAGTATAAAGAGAATAAAATTTGCGTTTGTTTAAATTACTCAACAAAGGTTTCGTAGTGAATACTTTTTCAATCGACATCTAATAGAATTTAAATATCGAAATTTTTTTTTTTGTTCTCTGAATCTTTCATAAGTAATATTTTTTGAAATTAACATAAATCTCTAATTTTAAATTTGTATATTGAATTAATTTTCTTTTTTTTGTTTTTGTTACTTACACATTCATATTCTCCTTCAGCATTTTTCATTAATAAAGTCACAATTTTATTTTTACCACTTCGTCGTTTTTTAACTGCATTAACTGCTAGTTGCTGTGATGATCGATCTTGATGATGTGAATTTGTTTGATGATGATTACCATGTCCACTACTTGTATGATGTTGTTGATGATGTGATGGAAGTTTATTTGGATTAGTTGTACCACTACCATTTTGTTGTGCAGGTAAATTATGATGTGCAAGATGATGATTTGTTGCACCAGCAGCAAGTGCAGCAGCAGCAGCTGCAGCTGTTGATGCTGCTGCAGCTTGTTGTTGTGTTGTTTGACTAATATAACCACATTGATGTTGTATAAGTGCTGCTTGTGACATAGAAATTTTTCCAACTGTAGCCCATCGTTCAAGTAATTCACATAGTGTACGTTGTTTTTCATCTAGTACTTGTGCTGTTGTTGATGTTGGTTGCTGTTGAGATGTTGTTAATAATGCACGAATATTTGCTTTGACTATATTCGTTTCTATTTTGTATCAAAAAGAAATAAGAATAAAAAAACAATAAAGTCGAATGTTTTATTTACCATTAATTAATTGTTCAATTTCATATCGTAATAAATTTTCATGTTCATGTATATGATCAATACAAAGTAATAAATGACAATGTGGACCTAAGATTAAAGGCAAGAAAAAGATATATTCAAAATAAATAAATTTAAATAGACAACAACAAAAAAAAAAGAAACTTACAAGAAACATAAAGATTTCTTGAACATGTTAATAAACCATTTTCATTCCTATGTTGACATTTAACGGATATTGTTTGGCATATGCCAGAAAAATAAAGTGACGATGCTTGATCATCAGCTGCTTGTTGTGTTGCAGCAATATGTGTACCGGCTGCCATTTTATTTGAAGAAACAAAAGAATATATTTTGTAGTTCCTGCTTTTTTTTAAAACCAACTTTGAATTTGAATTAATTAAAATGCAAAAAAAAGAAATAAAATTAATAATAAATGTTGAAGTTCTTGTTTTTAGTTTTGATATTATTCAATGGAAAATATGAACAAGAAAATAAAATGGCAACGTTTTATTAGACTTGACAAGAGAATCTAAAGAGAATAAACAATAATCGTAATTGACGATCTTTTGACAAAAGAAATTCCAGCTGATCCAACTTCATTATCCATATTTTACATTGGAAATGTTGAGAGGATCAACGGCCATCATGATTTCTATTGACACTCATTAAGTGTAGAGGTCTTTGTGCTAATTTTTTTTGATACAATATTAGCGACATCATTGATACTAACAATGATTAAAATAAAATCATTTATTTATTTATTTGAAATGAAAAATAATATTATTTGAAAAATATTCAATTATTGGTTTAGTTTTTCTAAGAAGAAGAAATTATTTGATAGAAGATGAATCATTATTATAAAATAGATTGATTGGTGGCTTTTTCTGTCTAAAGAATTTCCATTGGCTTTTAGTATTTACAATTGACTTTTTTTCCGTTCGTGTTCGTTTTTGTTTCTAATGTAGGAAAAATAATGCTGGCTTTTATTATATATGTATTCAATAGGTTTTTATTGTAAAAACCAAACCATTTATGCAGGGGTGTGGCGATTGTGCGGTATGAAGGGTTCACACCCCCTACTTTTAGGAACTTTTCGTTTGTTTTTCAGCCAATTCGTATATCTTATCAAAAAGAAAGATCGTGCAATGAAAAGAAAATCTTAACACCATTCACTCTGGAAAAATTGTGTATATATGTCTTATCAGAATTCAAAACAAATTTCTAGCAATTTCTCACTGTTTGTATTCATCAGATCTTTGAATGGATGATTAGAAATAATAACAAAATACTTGATACTGTTATTGGAATGAAAGAAAATACTTATTACAACTGAATTGATGATATTTATTAAAATATGTTTTGAATCTTCAGAAGATCGTACCCAATACGAACTTTCTATAAATATGTAGATTGATGAAGAACTTTAAATATACTTGAATCTTGTCTTTATTGATACTTCATGTCTTCTCGACTTATTTTGAAAAGAAGATACTCGACAAAAAAAAAAGTATAGAATGATGAAAAAATAGACTGGTTTCTATTAATAGAATTCTTATTTACGTTAACGAAAGTTTATGAAAACTAGATAGATATTCATCGTGTTAACACTTACGGTCGTAACATATGTGTGAAAAAAATCTTTACATAATAAGTCTGTTCAATATTTGTTCATTTATAAGTTGTATTAGAGAATTAAGAAGTAGCTCCATCTAGACTAGGAGTGGCACTTCACCTTTAAAAATACTTTAGTGAAGTAGTTAAAGTCAAAGTAGAAATTTTCTCACCAAACACGAGCTTTTTTAAAAGAATATCTATCAAAGGATACTATGTCATGTATCGGTACAGAAAACTCGAACAACGAAAATTTGAAGATGCTCCAAATATTAAGCTAAAACATTATATGACTACTTTTTAACGATTTCCAGGGAACTGTAAGTATGGATTTGCCAGAATGGAGACCGTCAAAATTTGTATCGTATACCTTACAATTCATTTTCTTCGATACCATCTAAAACCTACACCCGACTTTCCAAGGTTTCTCACAAAAATTTGAAATTTCCAGGGCAGATGGATCGTGATCAGATGAGCAAAAGTTATCATAGACTCGAAGTTTCTAGATGCTGCCTTCTGCGAGATATCGGCATCATAATTATGAACACTTGCTCCAATTTTCATCTTCGATTCTTTGAGATTCAAAATATCAAAAGTATATACCTTAAAGAAACATATTTTTTTTTGAACAGAACTTTTGTTTGTAAGAGCATTCAGAAATCAACAGAAGCACATTTTTTAAAATAAAAATCAATACTCTCCAAACAGTGTCTAGTATGTGTGAAAAGTTTCAGCTCGATCGGATATACTAGTCAGACGAAACATGGATGTTTCTGTCATATTTGCAATGGTGAGCTGTTTTGAGAAAACAACCGCGTAACAGTGAACAGTTTTTGCTATTTTGGTTATGCAAATTTGATTTATGCTCGAAACTTTTAACGTTTAAAGACTATATTTAAATTCAAATATGTACTTAGTAGATAGATTCTACTGAACCGTATTCAATGGTCAAAAAACACCAGAAATGAAAAAATCAAAAAGTTTTGAGTCAGAAAAGGGGAACAGATTCATTTATGATGCATTTTAGAAAATCTGAAAAGAAAGGTTCAGCTTTAAATACGAATTGGTAGTCTCTGGCAATATTATAAAGTTCTTATGAATAAATGTATGTTCAGCAACAGTTCTCAAAACAGAATCTAGTCGAGGATCAAGCGAGTCGTGACGACGAACGTTAATTGCTTATAACGTTTAATCAAATGTTTTTACGGTCGAGAAATCGGAAGTCGAAATCAATTTCTCGCTATTTTGAGTTGAATTTTTTCATTAGAAACGGTCTTCTTTTGAGAAAAAAGTGGTATTCTACAAAGTTTGACCAAGGTTTTCAGTATCAAGAAAATTGAATCTGTAATTATTTTTTCAAAATTATGTACTTCATTTCT